GGGAGCCTATTAATCTTGACAACGCGTCAGCTTGCTCAAAAGCGGTAGTTGACTGATACTTGATCTTGAAGTCGTAACCCAGAAGTGTGGTTGCCCAACGTTGGAGTCGGTTAGCTGTATGAACAGGAATCTTTTTCTTTGACCCAAAAACTGCAAGCAGTGGCTTATGGTCTGTTAATAGGGTGAAAGTTCGACCATATAACATCTTGTGGAATTTTTTTACTGCAAAGATAATTGATAGGGCTTCCTTCTCAATTTGACTATAGTTTCTTTCGGTCGTTGTCAAAGATCTGGCAGCGTGTGATATAGCTTTTTCAGACAATTCAGGCATGATATGCGAAATGCTTGCTCCAATGCCGTAGTTTGAAGCATCTGATGCCACTACAATAGGTAGGGATGGGTCATAGTGGGTCAACGACAGATCCGAGAGTAGCAGTTTCTTGATCTTCTCGAAAGCAGTTTGACAACTTTTAGACCAACACCACTTTGCGTTCTTTGTTAAAAGACTATTTAATGGGGCACGTAAACGATGAAGGTCAGGGATAAAAGCTCCATAATGACTCACTAGCCCCAAAAAGGATCGAAGTGTGGGAACATCTGTCGGTCTCGGCATTGCTTTCAAAGCTTGAGTGTTCTCCGGATCTGGTTTTCTCCCGTCCTTATCAATGATAAAACCGAGGGAGCGTACTCTCTCCATGCAAAAGTCACATTTTTCTTCACGAAGCCGGAATCCATATTCAGCTATTCTCGATAGCACCCGGTCGAGCTTCTTTTCTAGGTCTATTCTGTCAATGCCCATAATTATTATGTCATCCAGATAAGCTGCAACACCAGGGAGATCATGTAGTATAGTATCCATCACCTGTTGAAATATGGAGGGGGCCGTTTTGACTCCAAAAGGTAACCGATTATATCGGAATAGGCCCTTGTGAGTGTTTATAGTAAGCAGATCTTTGCTTTCATCCACGACAGGAATCTGCAAGTAAGCTTCTGATAAATCCAGTTTTGCAAACACCTTGCCTCCATTCAGCTGGGCAAAAAGATCCTCAGGTATAGGCAAAGGATACTGGTGGGGTTCTAGCGCATCATTCAGTCCAGTAGAGTAATCTGCGCATAGACGGACACTGCCGTTTGACTTCTTGACCACCACAATCGGTGCAGCCCAAATGGAAAAACTCACAGGTACAATGACACCCATTTTTTGAAGCCGTTCTAGTTCCTGTTCAACTACTGGGAGAGAAGCATAAGGTACAGGTCTTTTTGGTCGAAAAACAGGAATAGATGTTGACCTGAGAGTCAGTAGTGCTTTGGCTTTCGTGTATTCGCCCAATCCTTCTGAAAACACGTGATGATGCCTTTTTATAATGACATTTCTCTGACTTGACTCTAAAGGGTTATTGATTCTGACTTAGCTGCAGATATTGTTGAGAGGATGATCTGCTAATTTTAATGCATCTATTAGATCCAACCCCAATAAATCGAGTTCCGGGTTCTTGGTTAAATAAACAGTTGCCCTCGTTGTTGCCTCATTTTTCGAAACATTGCACGTTATTTCCCCAACAATATTAAGCTTACCTCCAGATGCGCTGTGCGCTAGTTGCTTCGTTCGGTGAACTGTAGGTCTCCCAATTTTCTCCCAAGTTTTTGGACTGATTAACGTGATATCAGATGCTGTGTCAAGTCGAAGACGAACACGGTGTGCATTCATGTCCACGGTCACGTAATTTCTTCGGCGGTGAATTCTTGTCTGGTTATGAGATACTAATATTTTGTTTGTTCTCTTACCAGATCTGTATTTCTTGGAATAGACTTGTGAAGAGTAACGTCTGCGAGTTTTATTTCTACATCTGGTTTCTTTGTGCCCCTTTTTGTGACATTTATTGCAGAAATATTCTTTGTATGGACAAAACTTCTTGTAATGCCAACCTCCACATGACCAGCAAGGAGATGAGGGCTGATTGTCTTTGCTGTATGGTTTTTGTGAGCCGGAGTCTTTCTTTTCACTAACAGCATGCACGTATGACGGCCGGCTATTGTTCTCGACCATGGAGGTATCATGTTTCAAATTTACTAATCTCTGACACTCTGCAGTTATTTCTTGTAGTGAGATGTTTGGGCACTGATCAATTTTGCTTAAGATTGTGGTTCTTATATCAGCATCTTCGGGAGATTGTAGGCTACACACAAATACGAGGCACTTAAACTGGTCTTCCGTCATTGATGATAGTTTGAATCGTTCACATTCACGGTTTATTAGGCCGGCATGTTTTACTCAATCATCCTCACTTGACTTCGTTATTTTGAGGCATTGATAACGAATATTAAAGAGAGATGATTGTTCAGCGAAGATTTGCGTCAGAGTTTCGATTGTTGCATCAAAAGAGAAATCTCTTGGATTCTTTGGGAGGATGAAATTACTATAACGTTCATGTTCAATCGCGCCACGCTTTCTCAAGAGTATTCTGACCTTGGCAGCATCATCCAGTTTGTTGAGGTCTACCTTGAACAAATCTTCATACTTCTTGAACCAAGACTCAAAAGTCACACCAGCTAGGCCATCAAAGTGAAATTCCTGAATGGAATTAATTATCGAGTCTGTATGCGTATTACATGAATCATCAGTAAAATCTCTGTTATTCAGATTCATTTGTTTCGCTAACATCTCCAACATACGCTCCTGGAACTGTTCATATCGTTTTTCTTGACGTTCCAGCAAAGATTCTATTTGTTTAAAGGTAATTGGCATTGTTGATTGTGAAACCCGTCGCCACTGTTAAGTTCTCTACTCGAATACGCACGAAAAGACTCTATAACGGATGACGCTCGAACGTTATAACCTCCAATCGCTCTCAAGTAAGAAGATGAAAGACGTTTGTGAGCACTTATTGACAAGAATCAAAATATATAATCAAACATGAGTATTTATACAAAATTATATATATAATCAATATTGTCATTTAAAAATTCTTAAACATTCATCAATAAGTTAATCAATTGACTGCTATTCAAATACTTAACATCTGATCGATAAGTTAATCGATGACTTAGTCAATGGACTATGTACGTGGGTGGCTTCTCGGTGGACATCCCAACACTAGGAGAATTCAATCTTCATTAAATCGACTTCTCTGACACGCCTACACTAACGACAGCACTGAATTTCAGTTACTCAATCTAATTGAATATCTGAGATTATTCGAAAATCTGGAGTTCACAACTCGCTGGAGAAATATGCAAACGCTGTCACGTTTAGATTGCATGTCTACGATCGAAGAAGTAATTGATCATGGCGCTATAGCCTGTAATTTTATTAAAAAAATTGAGCTACAACAGTTTACTAACAACAGGTGTCGTAATTACAAACGGGTGGATTTTTCATCTTTACTGTTGTGCTCACCCTCAACTTGGTGTGGAAGATCTTTTGAATTTCTTCCTTCGCAAATCAGTCTGTCGGGCGAATGAGCCCCGAAAATGACCAACCACCTACATTCATCGAGAATCGTACTTTTCGCTCGGTAAGACGCAACAGGCACTACTGAGTGGAATACAAACGAACTGGTAACAACAGCGCAAACAGGCAAGCCAAACAAGCAAATAATCGATGTATATAGTTAGTCAGAGACAACAGAGTTCAGTATCAGATTAGATCACTTAATAAATTTGTCTTCAATCCGCAAAGCCTGTTTCATCATGCAGCATCTCTTCGACGGACAGAAACTGCAGTTACCCAGTTACTGGGTCTTAATGGCCCAACAGACAATGACGGTAGTGTCGCTGATCTTCCTACAGAATAGTGCTTTCAGATATTTTGGCCGTCCCATATTAACTACACCGAAGAGAGCTTCGCCTGCAGCTCAACAGAGTTCTCAGAAGCGAACCTGACTTGGTGATTCAGAAACTGCAGCATCTGAACAAGGCACACCTCCTCTGATGTATATGTTTCATTCGGCCTCGGTGAGCGAAGCGGCTTTCAGTTTCGGAAACACTACTTATTGTTCTCACATTCGTTAAGCTGAGGCACAGTACCAGAAGGTCGTAAGATAGATCATAATACACCAATTCTCAAAGGAGGTCAACTCAGCGAAACTTCAAGCTAAAGTTCCGTAGCACTTCTCTCAATCCCCGTTGCGCGACGGTCTACGTAAAACAGCACGAATTCAGGAATGGTTGTTATTGTACAACCAACTTACCGATCATGGTGGACAGTCATCCTCAATTGTAAAAGAAAGGTTGATTCTACACACCTTGACAAACCATATGCGTATGATAGTGTCAATCACATATTTCATATCAATAACCACAAACAGTTAGGTATCAAAACATCATTGATTTATCAACTTACGTCGTATCAAAATAATCGACTTTTTGAGTCAGAGCAAACTTTACTTTTTAGACGTTCACAGCAAGTCCGAATGGCATCTCACAAGGTTCAAAACTAGAACATCTTTTCTTGATTTATATAAACGCTTTTCCTAAGTAGGTCTTGTCTGATTTACCACTTTTCCCTGATGATGCGAAACTACAGAGGGTAGTTTGCAACCAAGATCGTCAGCTAGTACTTCAGAATGACCTGACTCGAAATCACACTTCAGCGAACAACAATGGGCCTATCTTTAACACTTCAAAATGAAAGAAGTGAATGTGGGACATGTTTCAGACCACGAATACAACCTAGGCATTTTCCTTCTTGAGATGTTCCAAGTCGAATTAGAACTACGAGTTTTGGTACCTTGTGATCTGAAGTCTTTCGCTAACTGCGACAAAAATACCTTTCGAGCAAACCTTACACTAGTAAAGTTGAAGCGCATCTTCTCCTGGTTCGATAACAGACCATTTGAACCATTTAGACCACTGAGCCGTCAATAAACGATTTTACCTAAATTCAATCAATCTATGGTCTTGTGTATCCTCCCACCCACTGCTTGTGGAATTATACTTTACACCAGTTGATTTACTTCTTCAGGCTTAAAAGATATTGGATATTTTATGAGCTGGTCTGCAAAATGTTTGGCGCAAAAACATTCACAAGGCCATAGTTCTCGTGATATTAAGTGGTCGTAGTGGGATGTGTTTTCGTTAATTCTCCAGGAATTCATTGGATGCACGAGCGATTTGATGTAGACTTGTCTCTGTGATATGCTCGTGCCGGTCAGTTTTCCGTATTCAACGGAGACATATCAACAGCAGTTCCTCAATCCTTCCACACCACTTCCAAAGTCACTTTCAGCTTTCCCGAATGTATTGCCTTACTCCGAAAAGGTGGCAGTAATGTTTAATGGTCTACAGACTGCACCGTCTTTGAGATTTGCCAATCTGATGCCACAAAATGGCCCTCCATTCATTATTGGAGGTCCTGTTTTAGCACTTGGCAAATCAACTTTTTCTCCTGCTGGGTATGGGAATTCACAGAGGCTCGAGAATGGGTTCGTAATTCAACCCAGTCTCTCCCAAAAAGTGTACATTCCTGAAAAGTCTTTAGGCTTTGGTGCTTTTGGTGTTGTGTGGTAATATCGTATATTCTTGTTACCTTGTAGGTTGGTTGTTGATCCGCGAACAGGCGACCAGGTTGCTCTTAAGAGAATCCCCAACATTTTTGAAAGCATTGTATCTGCTAAGCGAGCGTACAGAGAATTAAAATTGCTATTCTCTTTAAAACATTTGAATGTAACAACACACTCATTTTTATTAAACATTTTCTAGATTGTCCGCCTAATTGATGTCGTCAAAGTCAGTAGTTCCTCTTTGTTCAGCGAAGTGTACGTTTCGATTTATTTTCATCTAAATTTTTTATAGCTCCGTTCTTTGCGAATATATGGATACTGATCTGCACAAAATAATTGTGTCCACTCAATATTTGTCGCTAGACCATGTCAAACTGTTTGTTTATCAGATACTAAGAGGTAGGTATAGTTTTTCTTACTTGAATGTTAGGTTTAAAATATCTTCATTCTGCTGGTGTGATTCATCGGGACCTAAAACCAGGGAACCTCTTGGTTAATTCTGACTGTTTATTAAAGGTAACTTATTTATTTTAGTCATTTTCAAAGAATTACGAGTTAAAGACTTCAGGTTATGACGTCATTTTACGTTTGTTTTTATGTGTTCATTAAATAGTTTATACAGTAGTACGGCAATTTTCCTCGTAACCATTAGTTTTCAGAGATTTAGTTATGCCAGTTGATTTTATTAAACCACTCCTGAATCGTTGATACAGGTTTTTCAGTTGGTGAAATTTAAGAGGAAACTAGCACTATCTGTAAAGCTAGTCTATCTCTACTGTTATGAAAACTAACACTTTACAAGTTTCTACACTTAGTGAAGGGACTATATTTCGTCCGGATTTAGAATAAGACGTTGTATGCTTATTGGTAATAATTACAACTGTATATTTATATACTAATCTTTCTCAAAGAAATATAAGTCCAGGGTCCTGTTTGCATTACCAGTTAGAGCAAACATTCGTCTCACAATAAAACAGTGAATCTTTCTATATATAATTATCGGTCCAGTTAGAAGAAATGTAATCAAAGCTCGTAATGCGCCTGACCGTTGTTGCTACCTTGACGTGGTGGTCGGGCTTACCTATCTTGATGAAGCAACTGAGCTATACTGGCTGGAACAACCGCTCCTCAAGGTCTTATCATCCTAGACAGGTCGGTTGAAGAGCGGTAAGACTAAAAGCAACAAAACCAAAGTCCGAAGGCGAAGTCGTACTGCTGACTGTTTATTTATTTATTTGAACACATAAATATTGGTACAGGGGGGCACCAAATATATATGCGCCACACACTGCTGACTGTACAGAGGTGTGACAGCAGTAAGGTGTTTCCTTCAGACAACCAGCATAACAGCGATGCTGCCTTCCCACAAGGAGGGGTGGGGTTAGAAAAGGTCGGCCCTAAAAATGCACACCCTGCCTTGTCCCAAGGAAATCTGTCTCCGGCGGTAAGGTCTCAACAAGTACGGAGCTAACACAAAAATTACTCACAAAAAGGTCGTGTGTGACCGACCTCAAGCAGCTGTCCCTTGGGCACTGCGGTCATGCTCTCGGGTCACTGTGACCACCTCTAATCCAATTTCCTTTTCAAGTACTTCCAGCAGAACCCTTCCATAGCGTAGGCAACCAGGAAGTGATAACCGCCCTGATACCTCTAACAGCACTCAAGACCACTGTGTTCATAATCAACTTCCCTCTTCAATTCCTATTATTCCTCCTACACCGACTTTCTACAATAAACTTCCTCTTTCAGCTTCCTCTTCAAATGTCACCACAGCCAACGATTCTAGTGCTCAAAACACTGTCCCAGGTCTACTGAAACCTCGCTCCAAACTACACATTGGAGCCTTCAACGTACGCACACTATGCCAAATCGGTCAGCAGGCTTCCTTGGCTAAAACCTTAGAATCTCGTACCATTGATGTATGCTGTGTCTCTGAAACACGCATACAAGATCCTAGCGTGGTCATTCACTTGACCTCACCTCGGTAAAACAGAGTGCCGACGAGATACACCCTCCGTGTATCTGGCGACCCGATGGCTAGTTCTCGTGGACTTGCAGGTGTAGGCATAGCACTTAGCATGAGGGCGGAACAAGCGCTATTAGAGTGGATCCCCGTAAACAGACGTCTATGTTCTGTTCGGCTAAACGGCTCCGTAAGAACTCGGAAGGATAGGGACATACGTCGTTGCCTTTTCGTCGTTTCTGCCTACGCTCCCACTGACTGCAGTTCGGATGAAGTGAAAGATGAATTTTACAGAAAGCTGTCTGAACTTCTTCAGAAAGCTAAACGTTCAGACATAGTACTCGTAGGAGGTGACTTTAATGCCCAGGTAGGTAGCTTAAACGAAACAGAAAGACATTTAGGTGGGTATTTTAGTATTCCAGCACAGCGAACAAATAATGGTGATCGTCTGCTGCAACTGTGCTCAGACAATCGTTTATTTTTAGCAAACACAAATTTTAAGCATAAGGAGAGACATCGTCTAAGATGGCGACCCCCTGCGCCAAACCAACGATGGTTTCAGATAGACCATATTGCCATCAGTCATCGTTGAAGAGGGTCAATAGAAGATTGTCACTCATTCTGGAGTACCTGCTTGGACTCCGACCATGCCCTAATACGGGCACGAATCTTCTTGCGCCTCACTGGACGCGAAAAAGCCACACAAAAAAGACTCATTAGAACCGAATTGAGTAATGAGAAAACCAAAAGTAGGTTCCAGGAGCAACTGAGGTCACACTTAGGTAGTTCTGAAAACGAGGCTGACCCCCATGTTGCTTGGAAAGTTATACAAGCAGCTGTGGAAACAGCAGTGACATCTACTAGTGATTTAAACCACAGGGTTACAAAGAACCAATGGATTTCTTCAAGGTCTATTGCACTGATGGATTCTCGTAACCTCATCTCATCAGGTTCTGAATACGATGAAGAGCGTAAAGAAATCAGATCTAGGTTAAGCAAAAGTCTAAGGAACGATCGTGAGCAGTGGTGGGCAACGAAAGCAAAAGAGATGGAAAAGGCGGCGGCTATAGGGAACACAAGACAACTCTACAGACTAATAAAAGAAACTGGAATTAACAAATCAAGTGTAAGTCAGACTATTTCGGAAAAAGACGACACTCATCTGCTCCCATTCCGACGTTTAGAACGATGGGCGGAACATTTTAAGGAGCAATTCAGTTGGCCTTCAGCTACTCTACATCTACCCTCTATTCCCAGACAGTGTGAATGGAACATTGAAGTAGGTCCCCCATCTCTAGCTGAAGTTCAAAAGGCTATAGTTAATCTGAAGCGATGAAGGGCAGCTGATCCAGATGGATTGGCCCCAGAGGTCTTTAAGGATGGTGGTCTAGTTTTAGCGATTAGGTTGACTAATATTTTAGCTGAAATCTGGGAGTTAGACGTTATCCCATCTAACTGGTCACAATCGCTTATCGTCCCAATATTTAAGAAAGGGTCAAAATCATCCTGTGACAACCACAGAGGGATTAGTTTGACTAATATAGTAACTAAAATACTAGCCTCGACAATTATCGGACGCCTAACTAAGACTCGTGAGCTGCAAACACGTGAAAATCAGGCTGGCTTCAGACCTGGTTGTGGCTGCATCGACCACATATTCACCATTCGTCAGGTTCTAGAACACAGGCATACTTCTCGGCGTCCGATAATGGTGGTATTCCTTGACTTAAAAGCAGCAGTTGACTCTGTTGACCGAGAGGTTCTGTGGCAGTGTCTGTCATTGAAAGGCGTACCTCAGAAGTACATAAACCTTGTGAGGACTCTTTACTCGAACACTACTAGTCGAGTCAGAGCTTATGGCGAACTGTCATCTGCTTTTGCAACCTCAAGTGGCGTCCGCCAAGGCTGTCCACTTTCTCCATTTTTGTTCAACTTCATCATAGATCTACTGATGGAAATAACGCTCTCATCGACTGAATTCTCAGGTATTGATCTCCTACCAGCAGGTCCACTTATTGACTTGGAATACGCAGATGACATAGTCCTGTTTGGTGAAGACGCTGATGAAATGCAGAGTCTTTTGGTAGCACTGAGCAACACTGCTGGAATGTTTGGGATGCGCTTCTCTCTCTCTAAATGCAAGTTTTTGCTTCAGAACTGGTCTGCGTCAACACCTGAACTAAGGATAGGGAGTGAAGTAATCGAACGCGTTGACAACTCCACTTATCTTGGAAGTCTGATCAGCCCTAATGGTTTGGTGTCTGACGAAATCTCAGCACGGATTCGAAAAGCTCGTTTGGCCTTTGCCAACCTACGTCATCCATGGCGAAGGCGAGATATCCGTCTATCAATTAAGGGACGAGTATACTGCGCGGCAGTTCGTTCCGTTCTACTATACGGCTGTGAAAAATGGCCTTCAAGAGTAGAAGATATTCGTAAGTTACTAGTATTTGACCACAGTGCTTTAGAAATATTGCTGGTATCTGCTGGGATCACCGGGTAAGTAATAGTGAGGTTAGACGCAGGGTATTAGGGAATGATGGTAAATAAGTTGATGAGGTTATGAATCTTCATCGACTGAGATGGTTTGGCCACGTGCTCCGTATGCCTGAACACCGATTACCACGACGCGCAATGCTCACTGGTGTTAGGGATAATTGGAAGAAAGTTAGGGGCGGCCAAACCAAAACGTGGCATCAGTGCTTGAAGTCACTAACTCCTGGTCTGAGCCATGTTGGTAGATGCAGACTTCCTGGTTGGGGTCTGTGTGACTATCTTAACCAATGGTTGGAGACTGTTGGTGACATGGCTCAGAATCGATCACAATGGCGTCGGTGTATACACTCTCTGTCTTCCTTTAAACTAAGAGATTAAAATCACTTCAAATCTTTCTTTCTACGAACTAATTCTATCTTCCTGTACTATCTCCTTATACACACTCTTTCTTCTATATATTACCACCACTGAAGTAACTACTTTTATGAATCCGGTGTTCATCTTGTTGTGCTAATGCGGTATGGCAACTTGGACCGATGCATATACGTGCCTGGTCCTACGTTGCAGCTGACTTACTGACTGACTCATAATGCGAAATTTTCATGACTTGTTTCAGCATCTTAATCATTTTGTGTGTGTAATTCTACTTTCTCTTTGACAGAAGTTGGTAAACAGGAACCGAATCTGTATATCACTTTATTTTTGATGTTGTGTACTCAGCGTACTATCCAAGTCGTTAGTAATAAATGAAGCTAAGCGGCCAAACTGAAATATAGTACCATATACCAATAACCGCCTTTCGTGAGACGTGCATGAAAATGAAGGCTTCAGCAGTGAATTTCGTAAGACTAATGTGGTAGGCTAGTTGGTAAGTAACCAAAACAATCGTGCATTACTCCCAACTTCGTTACGCTTATTCAGGCTCTGGTAGTCGGTTACTTTTACTGGCCGTCACCAATGAAACGTAAATTGTGGCCGATTACTTAAACCTGTATTTACTTATTGAGTTGTTCTGCATCTAAAAGTGACTAAAAGCTTTCGATTATTTTGCTCATGATTGGTCCCAGTAGTACAAGTTGATCTATCTTTCTCCGAATTATCCTGTTCTCGCGTTTATTTGTTTTTTTTTTTATTTGTAGATTTGCGACTTTGGTCTTGCTCGTTCAGTGCCATCTTTTGGTGTAGAAAGTTCTTGTAATCCACTAACCCTTGAAGTCGTGACTCGATTCTATAGACCACCGGAACTAATCCTAGGTTCGAATTTTTATACAGCTGCTGTCGATCAGTGGAGCGTTGGCTGCATACTTGGAGAGCTTCTTTGTCGTCGAATTCTGTTTCGAGTGAGTTTAATAGCTATCACTATTGCAATGAATTTTGTGCTATTTAGACTTTGGTTCATAGATTACTATACAAATTACGTATCTAAAGTTAAAATTTCTAAGATATCTCTCAATTTAAGCTCTGATGTATGCTCCATTGTAATAGTTTTAAATTTTATGGTCACGTTTCGTTAATCGCTTACCTACTCTACATTTACCCTATGATAATTAACTGACAACATAAGTTTGCATGATAAAAATCCCTTGCGTACCCATGGCCCTTACTCTAATCGCTTGTGTTTTACTGGCTATTAATTATTTTTATTTATTTAGTTGAAACTGCTACTTCTGTATAAGAAACTTAGCGTTTATACAATACAGTATTCATTTGTTAAATTTCTAATGACCGGATCGTCTATGAATTGGTGTTTGTGAAAAAGATATTTATATGGCACGTTTACAAATTCTGTACAAGGTCTCGGATACACATTTCTGTCGAACACCAATATGTCTAATTAATGTCCAGAGGCTTCTTTCAGTTGTGTTTTTGACTTCAATGCTTTATTTGTCACGAGGCAAAACGCTCTTCAAAAATGCAATTTTTAACACTAATAATGTTAAATGTGACGTTTCCTCAGTTCTGCTTATACAGAAGCCGTTCCCACCTACTGCCTCACGTTCGTCATGTTCATATAAGTTACTCTAAAGTTCTTATTCTACCATAATCCCCTACCATAACTGTTACTATGATGCGGTGGTCGAACTTATGTTTCGTGACGGTGCGGTTAAGCTATATCGACTTGAACAATCGTTTTTCGTTCTGCCGCACCAGCCATGTAGTTTGCATAGTGGTAAGGCCGAATGCAACGAATAATGTCACTAGAAAATGAAGTCTTGATTAATTCCCAGACCAAGCAATTAAAACGGTTTGCGAAATGCCATAAGGAAGTGTTCATTTACTGTCCATTTAATCACTGTCCCCAAATAGCTTAAAGGGGCGGTCGATTTGGGTTTTTAACCTTTCAGCTAAGTTGAGGTCATTAGTAACCTCATGTGTGGAACCAGGAGGTCCTGATGAGTTAACCTCAAAATACCTGATGGTTGTGGTCTCATTTTTTTTTACCAAACTTGACTGATTTCGGGAGCTGGACATACTACCATCAAACTGATTTCGATCTCTGAGAACTGTAGTTTAAAAGAGCAAGAACAAAGATTCTAGCAGAATAGCGTGAATCCATTTTATTTCGTGGGTTCTCATCAGCTGCTTACAACCTGTGATATTTATAAATCATAATTAGATGATGAGTTTAAATAACTTACATGAAAGGGTTTGTTTAGAAGTTATATTGAAATTAATGGACTGAATATTATATATATATATATATATATATATATATATATATATATATATATATTACATTGATTTTTTTCTTCAACTACGTTTCAAATTAATAATCTCTTAACTGAACTCTACTCACTATATTCATATCAAAATTTTTACTCATTATGTAATCAATTGTTTCTAGCCCCTTTTTGAACTGTTGTCACATCTAATGATGTAGAATGTTCTTTCATATTAGGTATATATTTACAGTATTCAGTCTATTAATTTCATTTACACCCTTGCTATACTATGTGAATATGTCTTCAATATAACTTCTAACCAAACCCTCTCATGTAAGTTATTTAAACTCATCATCTAATTATGATTTATAAATATCACAGGTTGTAAGCAGCTGATGAGAACCTACGAAATAAAATGAATTCATGCTATTCTGCTAGAATCTTTGTTCTTGCTCTTTTCAAAATGATAAAGGGAACTATGTGTATGAAACTGTATTTTATTAAGTATGACCTTCGCAGAGGAATGTTTCCAGTTAGCATTGTTTGACTTATTATCTTTTGTTATCATCCATCATCTAAGTAACTTGGTAACAGCAAACCTGTAGGAAACAACCCTGTTTAAGCGTGGATGTGTATGTGTGGATCAAATATTCACCCTTCGGTGTTTAAATGTCATGTGTGGAAACTTTCACATTTATTCCAGGTCGTATGTAGACCGACCCTTATCAGTTTTTATATGATCTATTCTCATTTTTTCGCGTAAGTTGGTTTCAAACTCTTAGCTCCAGATCTATCTATGATTTTAAGTTTGCTGAACTTCGTTTTTTCTATGATCAAGGATATCTCCTTATTCAATGGCAGTATGCAGGCTCTTTACCGGACATATTTTGACACAGTCGTTCAGTTGGAACTAGGTAGAAATACCGTGAATTAAGAAATTTATGAGAAAGATACGTATGCAGAGGAATATTTCCCTATACATATCTCCCGGTCGTCATGTCCTAGGTAAAGAAAAAAAGAAATGTAACGTTTCTTTCATAACAATGAACAATAGAATATAGATAAGAGCGATAAAATGTGAGAATGAAATATTCTTGCCGTATACAAACATAGGAATGGAGGAAAATTGTAGAATTTACTTGAAAATAAAATGTTAAATCAACCAATTGTTCAAAATGACCATCGTTTCAGACCATGACAATAATAAATCTAAAAAAAGTGATTTTTGACACAAGTCACTGAGACTTGATTATTATCTCATCGGTGATTAAATCTCTTGATAATTTATCAGATACATTGCACATTTTCTTCGTCAAATACATCATTCTGAATTTTATTTCTTCATTTTAGTCTTCCAGCTCCTTTCGTCAATTGGATATGATATTTAATCTACTAGGATCACCCAGTGCAATGGAATTAATTGATTTAGTTGGTTTACCTTCATCTAGCATAGATTTTATTCGTAATTGTCCTGTACGACCGTTTAATCATTCTGCTGTTTCAAGAATACTTGTTCCAGCTAATACTCAATATTTTCAGTCACCTACAGAAAATCCACCTGATCCTAATTTAGTTAATTTGTTTACAGGACTTCTAAGTTTTAGCTCAGTAAGTGGAGCATTTGACGTTTATTGTTTATGTGATACTGGCGTCTTCTATCAAGGATACAGATAAGGATGTTGCTCTTTTTGCGAACCGTCTCCTTCCCTCTTTCTTTTGAAAGCTCAAACGGTAACACATTTCTTTAATATGCGGAAAATATATTGTTAAACCTGGTTTCGTAATTATATGGATATTGTTCTTGTTGTACTTCCATAATGCTTACTGTCACGATTGTGTTAACTGAAACCTTACTAGAGTATAGTAATTTAAAATTTTGTCATTGACGTCATACCAATTCGTAAATACCTGAAAATATATGTTAGGAATCCCTTGATAAAGGCCAGTCCTCTAACCATCTAAGTTATGCTTTACAGTTTTGTAATTTATTCTGGTAAATTCAATATGGATTTGTATTCGATTTAACAGATCTTTTAAAATACTTGATAATTGCCATGAAAAGTCGAAATTTATCCGAAGTTGGTAAAATGTTAGCACATGTTACATTTCAAACAGTGTGGTCAAATAATAACTCGTTATAGTATTTGTATACGAAATAAAGTGCTAACTAAACAAACGATAAAATAACTAAAGATAATGAAATAAAACAATTTAAATCACACTACTCTCAATATTTAAAGTAAATACTATCACGGTGGGTCTAATATTGTTCTTGAATTTACATTTTCTTATAGTATAGGCCTCAACAAATCCGATATTACATTAAATTCACTTATATAATCCGTTTCAACAATGTCATACAATAGAGGAGTATAGCTGTTTGTCAACTTCTTTGGTCTGCTTAATGGCATTTATTTATTAATACTACCAGTTAATTACAGGTTCAACCATTCCTACTTTGAAGTTACGATTATTCTCTCTATGTATTTGCTGACATATAAATTGGTGTACACAAAAGGATGTGATTTACTTGTTTACAATCTGTTTGAGTGTTTAGTGAATGATAACTCCAATCTAGCCCTTGGTAAACGTTTCTGGGATTGTTTTGAGTTCTGTATGGTTCAGCTGTCACATATCGTCATTCCAATTCCGTGTGAACAGTATTTTAACGTAATTTTGAGGTGTATTATGTTAAATGTCGAGTGGTTGAGAACCTGGGACATTTCGAAAATTGTCTTGTTCTAGTTTGGGACTATTCTACAATTTCGACTCAGAGCGGTGGCTCGGTCCTTCCGGCGTCAAACTTTCGGTCAGTAGTGTTGACTATTTATTGTTGTAGAGCTGCACAGAAGGGAATAAAACGGTTGACCTGGTTATCAGTGGTTCTTCCGTTACTGATATAAATTTATGACGAAATTACTTTCAAACTTTTCAGATCCCCAGTTTTGGTTTTTGTCCTCTTGTGTGACATTAATAAAAAGCTTCAATATTGTTTCTCGTCTAGGATCTGATAGTTAAGTTAAATCCTTACCCTTTTAATCATTAGCATTCAGCTTGTAATATCTCCAATACATATTATAATTAGTAATAATTTCTTTTGGGTGTAGTCCTTTCAATTTTTTTATATATATCTATGAACGTTTTGTATTACTAGTTGCCTACATCCTATCAATAGTATACATGGATGGCTTATATAAATCCTAAGATATGTGTTGTACGTTACCCTCGTGCTTTGTCAAATAATAATTCAATACAAGGAATAAAAAGCATTTCTACAAATTATTTTTTTTCAGTCGAAGCGGTTAACTGCTGAACAAGCGCTAGATTCACCGTTCTTAATTGGAGGTAGAGCTAGATTTCATACTTGTCTGTGCTGTTGTTGTCCACCACGCAATCAAAGTTCAATAATTAACGATTCATCTCCCCACTGGCGTAATGTAGCAAAACAAGTCAGTCATCATCATCTTTTAGCTGTTGGTTCAGTTGGTACTCTGTCATCATCTGGTGGTACACTACCATCTTCACTTCATTCATCTATGTTATCAGAAAGCAGAGATATAACATTGCGTATCCCTTTATTTTTGTCACCTCATCTAATGGTACAATATAGTCGTATTAATTTAGAACCAACCTTTCAAGATATACATGAATACACTTATTTAAATACTGAAATAGAAGTGAATAACTTGTTTGAAGCTAAACGTGAGTTTTTAATTTGTTGATTTTAGCATTTTAAAGTAATTTACTCAAAATATGTACGTTTACATATTCTACATCTTGTCACTTTGAGTGAGCGTTGTTTATACTATCCGGGTTGCTTGACCTAAAAGTTGAATGTAACCTCCTACGATCTAATGATTAGAATTTGAGTGTTATTCAATCACTTCTTGGCTGACCATTTTATTGTTTTTATACCACCACTATTACGTGATTTGAAATCGTCTTTATCTTAAAATTAAATGATACCTCTCTTATTATACTACATGTTTGTAGATACGGACTATCTGGTTGCATTCCATGCGATAATTGATCAATGGTTGGAAACATTGGAGTAACATTTCTTGGAATTAGTCACCGTAGCATAAATACATTCACTCTTTATCTTAGGCTAAATCTTAAGTTTTCATATTTCTTTATGAACACGTTTTCAGTATAGCTTCTCATACCATATTCTCAATGTTCATTTCTTTTCATTATCACTGTTGCTGCACTGTCTCAATTCCTTTGTTATTTATAATGTAGATTTTATTTTATTTGTGCTAATATTGTAGTGAACAGAGCATCTCAATAAAATCTGAGAACCATATAGTAAATCGTTAATTTGCAAAATGTCAATCAATTGTCGCAGATTTTATTGTTCATGTGTTTCCATACCAATTGCGTTCCATTGACGTTCTTTCCTCATCGACCTTCTACTGAAATACATTCTATGCCTCACCACCGTTATATACTACTTGTGTGGATATAAGTAACCCACACCACAATATCACATGGCAACTTGCGCTAATGCACAATTGTGCCTGGAATTTAGGTTAATAATAACTGACTGACATATAAACTTTGAGGCCGTTTACAACTACACATTGAGTAAATCCATCCAATATAATATAAGATGATTCAGGCACTCAATGTAATTAGTTTGAAATAGTCATTAATGAATTTATTCGTATTTCATGCAATTACATTCAGTTGACATGATTCATTCGAATTATTTTATATGACCTTTTAGTACTTATGGATATAAGTTTATTTTTTGTCGAATTTATAGTCAAACTAGAAATGAAAGTATGATAGTGGATATCAGAATTAGACTATCAGTTTTAGTCAATGAGAAATTATGAATTATGCTTCAGTAAAATGCATTCTATACACATCTCGTAACAATCTTACGTATTAAGTCTATGTATGCACTGACACACGTTGCTATTAGATTTTTTTGTTAATATTTTTCTCGATTGTTTACATTTGTGCGCAAGTTAAGACCTTAAATATATATCCCTTTTGCTTCGTAAATTATGTTTATACTTTTGTGAATATGTTTGTTTGTGTCGCCTGTTTCTATGGTATTATCCCTTTTTAAATATGCATAAAATTACTTCATATTAGGGGTATTTATAAAACATCTCATATGTTGTATATTTTAGTTTCATGTGCTTCGACATTGCTTTATGCATATACGAAGTAGACAATTTCGGTTGTTTACGTTGTAGTCTTTGTAAACTGTGATATTTTTTTAGAGTAATTGTTGTTTTTATTAGCTATATGACCTTTTAATTCACTGCTATTTATATTCGAACTTGACACAGTATGTATTTGGATGTATGTTTTAGTGCTCTGAATAGTACAGTGAAGTAGTATGAATTGTTTCCAGTTAATATATCATTCTGACTGCTATCTATCTGATGTTTTTTGTTATGTAAAGTGAAAATTTTGGGTGCAGGAGAGCGGACAAAAGTTTTAATATAGTCAGTTATCATGTTATACATACATACTAAGTTTTTATTCACATTTACTATTTATCTTGTTAATTTTACCTCGTACCCATATGGTATGGGATCTTGAGCTAATACAACTTTATGTAAGGCTCTATATTAGTTATGACTGACTTACTTTATCAATGATATGAGTACAATTATGAATAGTTTTTTACTCATGCGTCATAACCAAAGATTATTTTACACATTGTCACGCGTAACCTCAATTGTAAATTTGTATCTGTATTGTAGTCGAAACTTGTCTGCCTAAATGTTTGTTTACAAGTTTGTAAATGAGAGTATATTTCTTAAATTTGTTTTGTTTATAATTCATTCATACTATTTTTTATACATTATATATTCAGAAATATTATGGAATTTAATTCAGCAATATTTCCAAAGAGATCCTAATCGTACTCGAGTTGTAATAAACAAATCTTCGCCTAATTTTCAATCATTTATAAAGTAAGCACGTTATATGGTTGTTTTTAGTTTAGTACGTTTATAAATTGGGGAATGTTTTATCATATTCTTACTTAGTGACTGAAGTACTTTACTTTTACTTTTAGTTCGTAGGTTCGAAACCGGCTCCACCTACTTCGATTTGATTAACTTTAAAGTATCACTAGCACTTGCAATACTGAAGTATGGCTCAAAGTTGAATTCAAAAATCGGTATATGGTCCATGAGTAAATCAGCTAATCAGTTGATAAAACTACAGTACTAGTTTTTATGGAGGTTTCGAATTCTCTAGATTCTCTTTAAATCACGAGTTGACATCTGCTTCAAAGTCGTTTCAGGTCTTAAATCTCATGTAGTCGTGACTTTTTGTTGAAGTCCTGAACTAGGTTCTTTAGTTCTGAAAGATTCTCTAAATGGTTTCATTTTGTGGTAAGCATTAATTTCAGCTTTCTTGCGAAGTAAACATCTTCAAGTTAAATTTTAGTTCAACCTGATAAGTAGGTAGTGTATTTATCGTATATATTATGTCAAATCTAAATGATGAGAGTTTTGACATTCCTCTGTTTTGTGAATGTCATTTTTGTAGTTCCACTGAACCTACTTTTCCGAGAAGATATACACTCATATCTATCATTGTTTGTTTCCAATATATTCGTTTTATGTATTAGACTAGTTCAGTACTGTATTCATTCAAATTAACCTTTTTTTAATCGTTCACTTGGGTAAAATATTAACATTTCCGGTTGTCAATCCTATAATTTTAGCTCTGAATTCCGTTTATATAAGTTTACAGTAGTTCTAAGTTACTTTACTTTTGATTTCCTAATAATACTGATATATTACTTACATTCATAGTACATATATCCTCATTTTTATCAGATATTTATTAGTTTAATTCTTTTAAAATGTTAGTAGTTTGTTGATATTTTACTCTGTATTTCATAATATGTTCTGAAATTTCCCTATAATACATCATTTCTATCTTATTAACTAGAATATGCATAAGATCACCATTTTCTAGTCTACATAATTGTTAGTACTCTATTATACTATTCTATATTCTGTTTTGATTCATCCTCATCATTTCTTTTCTATATACTCATATGATCAATTATTAGTATTCAATAGAGTATCGTTTATATTGTATTTAATAAAAAGCATATGATATTTGATTACTTATATTTTCATAAATTTTAAGTTAATAAAATATGCATTCATGTACTAGTTATTGTCATATTTATTGAAAAGGTCTTAAAAATCTTTCATGTCAATAGAATAATGTTTTAACCATTCAACATAGTAGTTGATAAATCCTTAAATCAATTAGGCTGAGTTATTTATTTTATTTGGTACAAGGAAGCACCAAATACATATGCGCCACATAAATCTCATTTGATTTGTGTGGGGGTTGTGATATTGCCCAGGTGCCCAAACCAAAGCAGGTGGTTTCCTTAGGGGGCCACACTCGGAGCCTTCGACCTGAACGTCTGATCCACAAGGCAGTGGAACATCGTGAGGAGATGCAGTCCCATGGAAGCCGGTGACCAACGATTGGTTCATACGCCATTTGTTCCTTCAGGATCGTGGAGCCCATGTGCACCATTGGTTTAGAATCAGGGTTTTCCAACTCCCCTAGGTGGACTCTCCATGTCCACCAACCCGGTAAAAACGCCGGACATTCACTTTTCGTCCTCTCATTTTCGTAAACAACACCCGTAGTGCGAGAAGGCAGTGAGTAGGACTTCCCTGGCAGAGGCTATATACCTGTGGCCATATGAGAGCATTTTGAGAGGGTGAGCGCACTCTCCCCACTGTCGGGCGTACCAGAGCATTTGGGGCTTAACCTTAGTTACAGTTTTGCTAATAAGTTTAGTAGATTTAAATTGTATTTGTATCGATATCCTCTTTTCAATGTAAAATAGATTCTTTTCTTTTCGATAACCATTAACATTATCATTATTTGAATCAGAAGAGGTTTTGTGGAGATTGTAGTAATTTCTATAATTGAGATCATGACGAAACGGCCGTCCAGTGCTTCCAGGTTTTCCATGGTGGTCTAGCTTCAATTGACTCATGATCTCAATTATTGAAATGATCATTATTTATCAGTTGACTATTGTTATAATTTATATTAACCATTGTAAGAAAACAATATAAAACATAAAAAACATCCGATAATACTTAAACCTTACACGTTCGGCATTAATAGTATGACTTTTGAATTATTATTTATTTTAAACCATGTAGCTTGATTAACATGATCATCATATTGTTTTATTGATTTTAAGTCATTGTTTACTGACTGAAATAGGAATATCATACTAAATAGCTAAAGATTATTTAATCAGAAATATTCAGTGGTCTTGAGTGCTGTTAGAGGTATGAGGGCGGTTATCACTTCCTGGTTGCCTACGCTATGGAAGGGTTTTTCTGGAGGAACCTGAAAAGGAAATCGGATTAAAGGTGGTCTTAGTGATCTGAGAGCGTGACCGCAGTGCCCAAGGGACAGCTGCTTGAGGTCGGTCACACACGACCTTTTTGTGAGTAATTTTTGTGTTAGCTCCGTACTTGTTGAGACCTTACCGCCGGAGACAGATTTCCTTGGGACAAGGCAGGGTGTGCATTTTTAGGGCCGACCTTTTCTAACCCCACCCCTCCTTGTGGGAAGGCAGCATCGCTGTTATGCTGGTTGTCTGAAGGAAACACCTTACTGCTGTCACACCTCTATACAGTCAGCAATACGACTTCACCCTTAGACCTTGAGTTTGCTGCTTTTAGTCCTACAGCTCTTCAACCGACCTGTCTAGCATGGTAGGACCTTGAGGAATGATTGTTCCATCCAGTGTAGCCCGATTGGTTCATCACGATAGACAAGCCCAACCACCACGTCAATGTAGCAACAACGGTCAGTCTAACTAACTGACTGGATCAGAAACACAATAACAGTCAATATTAGTCTTAACTGCTTATGAAATTTTAAAACTCTTCACTATTTTTATATTCATTTAGATTATTTTTCCTTCTTTCATGTTTTCCTCTTTGTCTTTTCGAGTTATCTCTTTTATTTTCTCTAATTATTTTCTAATATTATCCTATTTCTACATATGTAACACCTTGAAGCAATACATTGTTACTATGCGACATTACATTGATTGAATTGATATTATTCCTATCTACTGAATATCATAATCGCTTTTAGAAAGTTTTAGTTATAATGGTGTGATTATGATGCTATTTTATAAATTTTTTCAGACAAAATTATATAATTGTCTTTTAGACAAACACCTTAAAATGTTAATTAATCATGGAATGTCAATTTGTACCCTTATTGTCATTATTATTTTGTTTTAGTTGTTTACCACTAATTATATCTTCATTTACATTTAAACAAATATAAGTGATGTATTAAGTAAATTATTTGCATAAATTAAATTAAATAAGATATAATAATAGAATCTGTTACACTTAAATTTAGATATGTTGTTTTAGTATTTCATACAATCAGTTCGTTTTATACTGTTTCTCTCTCTCTCACTCCTTTTTTTGGTTTTTCATTTCTCTACAAGGTTATACATTTTATCTATTACATTCATATGGTTTTGTTTATTTGTTTTCTTTTTTTAAATTTATTTTTTATAGGTCTTCAGTTGCGTTCAATTAATATTACAATGAAGACTATTTATATAACTACAAAAACTTTATATATCTGTTCAATGTTAATTATTGTATCATAAAGCCTTGATCCCATGTTTATTAATCAATTCATGTAATATATAATTATTTATTTTGATATATCCTTTTTTTTGTGGTCTTTCCTATTATTATTGCACATTTAAAAACATTTATATGTATATTTATATTGGAATGTATTACAAATACTGTTTCCTACTATATTATTATTGTTACTATTTTTCGAGTGCCTTTAATTATTATTTTCTGTTCTATTTGTTGCTGTTTTTGGTTTTTTTTTTTAAACAACTAATCGATTGTACTTAATTATCTAATTGGCTTTAATCTAATATATTGCACATATTTCGGAAAAATGAGTCTTGTTATAGACATATATATATATATATATATATATATATATATATTCTCATCTTCTTTGTTCTATTCTAGAAACGTACTTTATTCTGTTTATATACGCAACTTGTAGCAGTGTGTACATTCTGAAAGTTTTCTATACCTGTATTTTTCTTATTTTCTTCATTGAATTATTGTATAATCAAGTCAATTGATTCTTTTTATTAAATATTGGGCTGTGCTGTCTATGTTTCAACTGCGTTTAAAGTGGTTAATTCTTACAATCCATCATATATACATATTCTTTATATTTGGTTATTTGCTTTATATTCTCATTATATATATATCTATTAATCAGGCTGTGATAAATCAAGGGGCACAATTTCAAGTATATTCTTTAACTACATTTGTTATATATATATATGGATTAATATTTACGCTTGCCATTGTTATCCTAGTCATCATTCCCATATTTATACTTCAACACATTAAGTACATTGTTTTTGTGATTAATTGTTTTTTTCTCTTGTTAAAGTACATATTTCTATTTTAACGCTAACGACTAGTATAGGTCTGTATTGTCCAAATCCATTTATGTTGATAAATACCTTTTTTATTATAAATTAAATCCACTATTTATTTGTTTTTATAAATTGTATGTTCTTATTTTCGAATAATAAGGTTTATTTCTAGTGTTACTTATCACGTATTATCACCTGTTGTACAGTTAATGAATTCATGAGGACTATAGGTACTTATAATCTTTAGACAGTATCATAGTCAGTCACGACTAGTTTTGTAATGGGTTTTTACGATCGTTTATTGGGAATCTATTGTACGTTTACATATTCTTCATGCCCGTCAACATATTTTTTGCTGCCACGTAAAATTCAACCTTATTTTC